CTGGTGCGGATAAGCTGGAATTCTCCCACCCCTCTTTGGGAAATACTGTTCAAAGAACACCAGGTGCCTGTTTTGCCATCCAACTAGGCATCTCACTCTCCAGGGAAGAGGGCAGAGATAGGCAAGGACTAGATGGGATGGAGGGACTGTTGAAGAATGCACCTCAGAGACAGCTTGCATTTGGGAAAGCCAGGATTTCTGAATTTAACTTTACCAACCCATATACCATTTGGCTTGTTCTTCAAAGGCAAGAGACTTGAGAGACAAAATTCTCAGGGGATCTCTAATTAAATCTGGCAGTGACAAACATTGTCTCTCTAACCATTCAGGTGGTTGTTGCTTCTGGCTGCCCAGGGGTGCTAAGGGGTTCCTAGTGTGTGTGAAGGGGGCTAGGTTGGGAGCTCAAGACGCCGGGTGGCTCTAAGCTCAGACTTCCAAAAGACATCAGGTGGAGCAAGAGGAACTTCTTTGTCACCAAGAAACTCATCAACAACCTGAGTAGTATAGGCAGTGAGTGAGGTCACAGAGAAAGGGCTGAATTTCACTTCCTTCTTGTGAGGCATGTTGTACCAATCTCAGGTTCAGCACTGGTAGGAATGGTAGGCTAGCTATGGGGAAAGATTTGAAGTCTTGGAGACTAGTGAGCAAACAGCTGGGGGAGGCTGGCCACTTTGCTGAATGCTGGACCTATCTTCTAGGCCAAGCTGTGGTGGGCAGACAGCTCTATTCTGCTGAGAGGGTAGCTGCAATGCCTAACTTGGGTCTTTCTCTCTTCTCTCCCAGGACACACCAAGGAGCCTGTTTGTTGTGTTGAGCAAGCCAGGGGGTGGAGACTAGAATAGATGGGCAGCTGGGCGGGGCTTTGTGCGTTTGGAGGGAACCTGGCTGCCCTAGTATTGCTGGCTGTCTTTTGTTTTTACTGCTGAGCCTGGAGCTCAGCTCTGACTTGGTGGTTACTCCCCAGGGCAGTGAGAGAGAGGGAGGAAGAGAGAGAGAAAGAGAGGGAGAGAGATAGTGAGAGATAGTTGTGAGCACTTTGCGTACAGCCAGTCACAGCACTTTTCTGCCCTCCCACAGCTACTCAGAGGCTGGTCTTGTTGACATTTCCCCAGGTACCCTGAGTGCTTGTAGCCGCTGATCATACCTCTGCTATTGCTCAGAGTCCGTAGCAGTCAAACTTCATAATTGTGACCAGCTGGATCAGAAAAGGTTGAGGGGAGGGTAGCTCTGGGTGGGCTCAGGAAAGAGGTGTAGAGAGGCCTTGGACAGTGAGGCAGTCCACATCTGGGGGTGGGTGTTACTCTTTGCAGTGCTTTATCATCGGGGTTATCTGTTATCAGTACCTTGCCCCACTTCCCTAGATAAGGGAGACCAAGGAAGAAGGAAGGGGAGGGGAGGACTCCCACTCCAGGGTTGGTCTAGGTGGGCACAGCATCCTGGATGCCTTGTTACTCCCTAACAGGGGAGATGGAGCCACCTCAGTGTGTGGAGGAGCTGGAGGATGATGTGTTTCAGCCAGAGGATGGGGAGCTGGGGACCCAGCCTGGGAGCTTGCCCTCTGCTGACCTGTTTGCCCAGAGCCAGTTGGACTGCCCCCTCAGCCGTCTGCAGCTCTTTCCTCTCACCCACTGCTGTGGCCCTGGGCTTCGACCCACCAGCCAGGAAGACAAAGCCACCCAGACCCTCAGTCCAGCCTCTCCGAGCCAGGGTGTCATGTTGCCTTGTGGGGTGACTGAGGAACCCCAGCGACTCTTTTATGGTGAGTGCTCTTAGCCTCAGGACTCCTCCCATAGAGACTGGGGGAAAAGAGGGGACTTTCCCTCCCCAAACCTGCTCGTTGCTATTTCCTTCCCCAAATTGAGCAGCAGGGGCTATTGATTCCTCAGCTCTCACCTGCTGCCCTTCTGCTTGTCATTGCACCTTGTCTGTGCTCCTTGGGCCCCAAGAAGAGCAAATTGCCCTGCCATTATATCTGTTCTTTTTTCCCTTTCTGGAGGGATTCTTGGTCCATGGTGTCTCCTTGGGTTGGAAAGAGGGTACCTAGGCCTTGGCTTTTACATACTGCGGCCTGTTGAGTGGCCCAGACTTTTGTGTCCTGGTAGTGATGTACTTTCTGTAAAGTAGCTAGTGTTGCCCTAGAAAAGGTTGGGGGATCTGTGACTCACTGTTGACACTGAAGGGGAAAACCCAGCCCCTTCTGGGAGGGAAGGTTCCTGAAGGTGACCCCCAATTGTCACTTGGGACTTTCTGCGCTTGGAAGGGGAACTGGAGAAAGAAGTTGGGACTTCCTGGGCTTCATGCCAGCAGAGGGGCTGTTTCCAAGGCTCAGTCAGACAAGACCCCTTCATTTGTGGACTTAAATGGTTTGTTTTATGAGCAACATGCTGTCCTCTGGCAAGAGGGCAGCGTTAGACACTCTGTTTTCTTCTTTTAGTGTAATAGCTTATGGAGGGAGAGAAAGGGGTTGGAGGCTATCTTGCTGGATCTGGAAGACAGATTGAGGAGATGATGCAGTTATTCCCAGAGGGAGCTGCCCTGTGGGGCAATTCTGGCCTAACAGTTCTGGCCAGAGTCAGAGAAGATGAATAAGGTAGGCAGGTGGGCAGGACAGTGAAAAGGAGGGAAGAGGTGCACCAGCGCCCCTAGCGGCAGCTGTGTTGCCAGCACTTGGTCTCACCTGGGACCGCCTCCAGAGAGGAACTTGGCTATTCTGTGGGTCTGAGGAGTTTGCTCTCCCTAGTTTTTATACCACTGCCCAGAGCTTCAAGACCGGAGACCAGCCTTCCTCTGCTGCACTAAAAAGTGAAAACACTTTTTGGTTTTCTCTTTTTCTGTCTCTTGCTTTGCTCAACCCAGGAACTCTGGAGAGCTGCCTCTATTCTTTTCCAGAGAAGAGTGTAAATCTGCTACTACATGAATAATAAATTATGGTCAAGCATAGCTTGGTAAATAAGGACAAGTGCACCCACATGTATTACCTTTGCCATGACACTGCTAGTGAGCAGAAGTGAAGGGAAGGCTGGGACCATTTCCATTAATTTTTATATACTCAGGCAACAGGCAAGTCAGGTTGTCCAAATTTTGGCAGAGTGCCCTGATAAAGACCTCAGCTCCAGGTCCCAGTCAGGAGTGTTGGGTATGGGAGGAAGGGACAGTCATGGAGAATGCTGAGATGTGGGCCCTCTGTCTTTGCAGGCAATGCTGGCTACCGGCTCCCTCTCCCTGCCAGTTTCCCTGCAGGCTTGCCCCTTGGCGAGCAGCCTCCTGAAGGGCTGTGGCAACATCGAGCAGAGATACAGATTGCCAGAAAGCTTCAGTGTATTGCAGACCAGTTCCATCGGCTTCATATGCAGCAAGTAGGCATGGGGCCTTTGGGTGGGGGCTGGGGGTTGAGTCTGCTTGGGTTGGGGAGCTGGGGCCTGCCTTAGCAACTCTGTCTCTGCCAGGCCTCAAGGATATGGCCCCAGAGTTCTGGCCTTGGCTATTGTGATTCCTGAGGACTGGATGGGCCCTCATCTCTGAGCTCCAAGTTGGTTATCTGCCCACTTTCAGCTCAGGCTCCAGAAGAGTGGTTTTTTGGGAGATGCTATGATCACTCCCTCCCAGGGAATGGGATAGCTTTTTGCAGCCTTGCTTGACAAATTGTGTCTTCTTGAAGCCCAGGTTGGAAGAGTGTCCCTCACAGACCTAAAAGGGAGATTTTCAGGGTGCTGCAGTGAAACTGGACAGTTAGGTGCAGTGGGAACGAAGTAACCACGGCAGAGGGATGGGCCTGAGTGGGGGAAAGCGGTGGAACCGGTTGTAACCTGACACTTTCCAGCTGGGGAGCCGCTCCTCATTGTCTCTGTCTGGGAACTGGGGCCTGGGACTCTGGAGAGTGTACCTCAGAGAGTCTCTCCAGACTGGCAGCCAGGCGCTTGGCCTGGTGCTTGGCCGGCAGCCTGGCACCAGCCCCGCCAGGGCGGGACATCGCGTGTCAGTCGAGCATGTGGCAGAGTCCATCAACAAAGGCGGCGGCTGGCAGGCTCGTGCTGGAGCAGCCCTCCGTGCCATGGGCCGGAGGCTGCCCTGCTCTGTAGCCCTGTCTGGGCGGCCCCCAAGCACTTAACCCTTCCTCTCTGGTCTGGATTTCTGGACAGCCGCCAAGACAGGGAGAGAAGCCTGAGGCTGATCTGTACTAGTACAACCACCTTCGAGGCATGCCACGTGGAAGTGTGCACATTTGCTACCTCTGGGACAGTGTCACTGGCCCAGCAAGATCTGTTTGTGTGTGTGTGTGTGTGTGTGTGTGTGTGTGTGTGTGTGTGTGTGTGTGTGTTGTCTGTCTGGAAATCAAGAGAATAAATAACACCATGATCAGTCAGACTCTGAGTTACATGGGTCACTTCGGATGACAAGAGGAGAGTTATCAGTAGTAGTAGGTTTGACTTAAGGATTTTGGGTCTCCTGAGAACAGGCCATTGGCGGTTAGATACGGTTAGTGCCTTCTGCCAAGGAGTTCTGAGGGAAATTTTGGTCTAGAAGTGGTCCCGGTAGGCAATCCCAGTCCCTTAGAGATCAGGAAGGGAGGGTGGCCCTGTGCTGAGATAATAAGGCAGCCTGGCCTTGTCTTCTGGCCCCAAGCTTCAATCTCCAGTCCCTCCTTTGATTGTTCTGTGGAAACTTGGCCTAAAGTTTTCCCTCAGGCATGTGTGGACTCACTCTGATTCTTGATTTCTTTCTCTTGGCCTCCTTCCTACCCATTCACTCTATTCTGCTTATACAGGCCAATGGCTGAGCCTAGCTCACATCTTCCAGTCCTAGTGCTAGAGCTGATAAAGGACACAGTGGCTGTGAGTCTCCTAGACTCATCTAGAGAACTGCCTGGAAACCTGCTTTCTTCATTCCCAGCAGACCAGACCTGGTCTCTCTTAACAGGTGTTTCCCAGAATATTCCCCCATCCCTGAAGATTTGGGAGCAGGCGGGGAGGACAGGACTAGACCACAGCCCAAGGCCTTTTCTTCCTGACTCAGTCATGAACAGGAGGAAGTGGCCCTGGTCCCAATGTCTGACCTTGTTCTTTGCTGCTTGGCATCATTTATTTACTTTAGTTGAGGGCTGCTGCTTTGAAGGCTTGGTTCAGCTCTAGACAGGGTACTGTCCTCTCAGACAGAGCCACCCCAGCTGGGAGGAGGAAGGGCAGAGCTGCAGGAGAACTAACTGTAGGAGAGCCTTCTTGCTCTGCTCCCCACCTCATACAGGCTCCTGAGTTCTCTGTGCCCCTCATCTACCTGCCCTCTACCTACTTCTTGTATCTTGCAGTGGCAGGAAGCTGGCCAGTGAAGCCTCTCTAGCCCAGAGCTAACTTTCCCAAATTTTCCATTACAAAGAACCAGGCTTTTTGTCTGTTGAGTCCTCTTGCTTTTAACCCCCTCCTCCCCACTAACCCTGCTGTCAGACCTTCACCAGGAGCTCACCCTGCGGGAAAAGCTAGAATAATGGCCACAGGCAGGTGGAGCACTGGCACTCATAGGACCTTTCCTCGGCTGGTTTTAAGTGAATCACTGGGGAGCATTTGAGATCTTGCTCCCCGATATACGATATACGTTGTCAGTTTGACTCAAACTCTTTAAAAATGTTTTTGAAAAGTGAGTCCTTTTCTGAACTCAATTATTATATAAACTACAGTCAGATATTTCATGTCTAGAAAGTACTGTTGGCACTTTATTATTATCCTTTATCTTCTTTATCTACATTATTATCCTTTACAAATTTCCCTATTCCCTTCCCTCATCTTTGCAGACAGAGAAACTGAGGCACTAGGAAGGAAGTGGTTTAGGGTTAAGTCTCTAGGCTTTGAGTATAAAGTCAGAAAACCCAGGTTTAAATACCAGTTTTGCCGCTTACTAGCCTTTGGGAAGTCACTTGACCTTGCCAAGCCTATTTCCTCTTCTGTAAATTTGAGCTACTACCACAGGATTTTACTGTAAAGATTAAGTGAGAAAATAACTATGAAAATTCCAGGCACACAGTAGGTATTCTTTAATGCTTGTTTCCTTCTGTCTCTCTATAATCCTGGTTAGCCTTCACATTCCCCATCCTACCTGTCATGCCGATCCCTGAGTTTCCTGTCACCCTGTCCAGAGAAATCGGTGTCCAGGCTGTTCAGCTGTGGGGCTTGGCCTTGTACAGTCTCCTCAGAGAGTGATGTCATTCCCCGTTATTGTAGGCTGAGTTTAGGGAGCCACGAAAGACAACCCAGAGGCAGTAAGAAGTTGAAGGGGCCTGGCAATCCCCTTTCTCCTCAGATCTGGGATGGTGTCCCAAGGCCAGACAGTGGCCATTGGTCCCTGAGTCCTATAGGAGGTATGAGCTCTGCCTTTTGTCCTTATGGACCTCAGTTATTCTTTTTCTGTTATCAGGGGAAGGCTTCTCTGTAGGACATGTGGAGCAGAAGAAGTGGGTGATGGGTAGTGTGTTTGTTGTAAGGTGATATTATGGCAAATTGAGTGCATCAGTGTGACCCCAGATTGGAAAGATTGCAAATTCTCTGGGTGTCAGTTTATGCTGGTCATAAGCCCTCCCAGCATATTTCTCAAGGAGCATTCGGTGTGGAGGTCTAGCCCGGTTACTCGAATGATCAGTTCAGGGTGGCTCCTCTGGACTGGAATGGAATTGGAGGCAGAAGATCAGTGTCAGCGAGGTGCTCGCTGTTGGCTCTTTGGGTCTGCAAAGCAGCAAGAGAGTTGAAGGCAGAGTGGGTCCAGGTAAAAGCCTTTCCAAACCTGGTCACATACCCACCTTTCTTTGGCTGCATCTGGAGCGGAAGGTTTTCCTTTTTGTTCCTCTTCGAGCCACCAGCTGCAGTAGGTGACCTCTCGTGGTCTGCTGACCGTGGCCTACCTTGACTCATGCTCTGTGAGGATGCCCTGGTGTTTCCATGTTCATCCAGCTCCTGCAGGGAAGAGGAGGGTGCAGGTTTGCCTCCTCACTGAGCTCCTGGCTGGCTGCTCTGGTCAGAACGGGTGAGTCCCAGCTTCTTTCCATTCCCCCTGGCATGGGTCTCCTCTGGCATGAGCCTAAGATTGGACAGTAACTGGTGTCCCCTCCCCTTTGAAAAGTCTCTTGTCCCCGTAGAACCATTTTGAAATTTGTGGGCAACGTCAAGAAGCCAAGAATCCTAAAAAAAAGCCAAAAAAAAAAAAAAAAAACCCGGCTACTGTAGACGGTTGAGTGAGTAAAGCTACAGGAGGGTTGGAATTCTTTGTGTCGGAAATGGCTTCTTCACTTGGACCAAGAGTGGTTCCATTCGGAACAGTTGGATTTGGAAATTCCCTGAATAGTAATTAGACTTTCTGGAAAATAAAATCTGAGAAAAATTTTAGTCACTCATTTGAAACCACCTGCACTATCACAGGAGGGATCCTAGACTTCTAGACACATCGAGGTTCAAATCCCAGCTTTGTCACTTATGAGTACTATGTTCATAGGCAAATCATTTATCTTCTCCGAGCCTCGGTTTCTAATGCTTACCTTACAGAGTTGATGTGAAAGCCCTTTGGAAATTTTAAGACGTATACCTATTACAGTATGAACAGCTTGACACTTTTGGAAATGTGTTAAAAGGTGACTTTAGGATTTCGCTTGGACTTGCCTTTATTCTTGGGGAGCTTTTTTGGACGTTGTACCCAAGGTGGTGTTTGCATGGTTTATTAACTAGCAGCTTCTCTGCCAGCAGCCTGGATCCTTTGTTCAGGGACACTGACTGCTTCCGGACCCTTTGGGATGCTCTCCTTGTTGGCAAGTGGTTTTCTGGAGCTCAGACTGTGGCTAGTGAGGTTGTTCAGGCTCTAGATGGAGCAGCCCTGGGCAGGAGCCCCAGAAATTAGCCCTAAAGTGAGAAGGGTCCCCCAAAGAGCCAGTCTTTGTCCCAGGAATGAGAGGTCCACCTAGGACAGTGCCTGGGAAGAGCAAGGCTGGGGGAGGGGCTGTGGAAAGCTGCTGTGCGTGTGAGAGCCAGTGCTGGGGCTTGGGGGCCCTGTGTTTGCTCTGTGGCTGGCTCTGTTTATATCGCTCGCTATATTTAGCTTCTGAGTCATCAGCGTGGCTGACTAGAAGCAGAGTTCCCCACACAGCTCTGCACCTGACTACTCTCTCTTCCAGGAGAAGGGCCTTGTGGTTCCGGACAGTTCATTCCCTCCCCAGCAAGGCAAGCCGTGGGGATGGGAGTTGGATTTTTTTTTTTTTTCCCCTAGGGGGAGGGGGAATGATGAGGGGAAGGATTTGGGGGAGGCACTAGAAAATGAAAGCTAAAGAAAAAAATGTCTGATTTGCCTTTTGATCCATGTCTTGCAACCAAGAGGGCATGTTCCGTGA